ATTGACCTCACCTAACAATTTGGAGATCTTTGCCACTAAGGCAAATTTATTTTCGTTTCTTGGGGTGGTCCATGGCATACTTGGCCACCCCCTAGATCCGCCCCTGTTTATTAGGGTAAATAGCACATAACCCCCTTATGGTTTGACCATTTGGCACATAACCCCCTTGTGGTATCAATATAAGCACATAACCACCTTGTGGTTATCAAGGGGTAGCTAACGTTAGCTATACTAACAGAATAATGTAAATGTCAAATATACCCTCTAAAGTTCATGTATTTACCTTTTGCAATTAGGTGTTATTGCTGGGACTTCGGAGTTCATTTACGTTTTCTTTAATCCTCACTCTACCAAGAAACAAAAAGTCAAGATTTCAATGTAATTATTCAATTTAAACACTTTTTTTTTATTTTTTATTTTTATTTTATTATTTCTGCTAAAAAAAATCAGATTTTTCTTTGATTGATATTCTATGTTCATAAAAAAATTATCTTTCATATCAAGAAAACCATTTAATCGATTTTTGGGTTTAGATTTTTTTTTCTTTCGAGAATCCTCTGCATCGAATCGAAAATCACAAAAACGCTCTCTTCATTTTATCTCTATCCCCTATTTTTGCGTTATGCCACCAAACATCACCAATTTCAGTATTTCTGGTTTAACTTCAACCCTTGTATTCATAGAAGTCATTATCGTATCCACCCTCTATCATCTTCGCTGATGTTGAATTAGCTTTCATGGAAAAAGGGATGCACCATCTCTGCTATTGCTGGAAGAAGCCATAGAAATTGAGGGAAATAATTGCGATGTCTACAGAGAACTGAGATGAGAAGAGATAAACCAAATCAGACCAAACTAAAATATTTATATAACAATTTGGGGTGGGTGTTCATCTTTCTTTCACAAAGCCCTCTGTTTTGCGTGAAATGGGTGGGGAACAGACTTGAGAAGAAATTGAAAGAGGGTTGTTGAGGAGAATGCGTGAGGTAATTTGTTATGCTTTTAATTAATAGAAAATACAGTTATCAAAAAAAAAATTGATAGAAAATAGAAAAAGGGCACTTTGCCATTTTTAAAAGGGTTTATTAGGGATAAGCCCTTGTTCATATTTTCTAATGAGGTAGATCCAATTAATTTTTCACTTTTTAAGATACACCCAAATTTGCCAACTTGGCAAAATATATTATATAATTTCCCTTTAATACCCCTGTTTTATTTTTGAACGGCATTTATTTCCTTAACTATGAGATATGAGATTTGCTGATATGTTGCCTAAAATCACGGAATAAATTTACGTGAGTTTATTGGCCGTTTCTATCAAATCGTGTACAATCTGTTTTGAAGATTTTCTCCAGCGTTTCATCGTTTTTCTATCGTCTTTGAAGATTTTTTCACCGGCGTGGAAATAGGATCGGATTTGAGCGTTCATTGTTGTACGTTGTTAAGCGGGTATGAATGCGTTTTTTTTTCGTTTTTTATTTTCGTTGTATGTCCAGGGTTGTCGTGTACGGTGGTTAGACATTTTTAAGAGTTGTGTTGATACTTGATTCTATTAAGTAGAACGTTTTTTAACAAAATTACGTCGTCACATATACATCGTTATTTTTTGGCTGATGATGTTTGTTTGGAAGAGGATTCACAGAGTTATAAGAGGATGGTTCACGCAGTCGGACCAGAGTTGTTTTATTTGAGCGTCGTAGTTGGTTTATGCAATAATCGAAATAAATGTCTGTTGTGGTCGAGTTCATGAGTTTGATCCATATTGATAGTTGGTTTATTTGTTTACAACAGTCGATTTTAGTGTGCTCGGTAGTACATTAAAATATATTTCGTAGTCTTTTTTAATTTAGCGTATGGATTTTGCATTTAAAGTTTATTTTTGATGGTATTAATGTATTGTCATTCAAATGTATTTGCAGTCTATTTAATCATTTTTTAGTATTCTGCATTTTTAATTTTGTTTCATGATTTTAGGTTTTTTCGATGGCGAATTTCGTACGGATTTTGTTGAGGTTTGGTGGGTTGGTTGCTATAAAGAGGTGTTTACGATGTAATGGCTCGGTAACTTCGGTTAAGTGTTAAACCGTTGTAATACAGTAGTATACTATTATGAATACCGTATGATACTACCATTATCATTTTATTATACTATCATGAGATTATTAATGTACTAGAGTTTTTTAACTCGACATATTGGTTTGATTGTGTTATGATGTGGTTTTATGTATTTTATCAAAACCCTAGATTGAAATTATGAGATTATTAATGTACTATTTTATTGGTTATGTTGGAATACTTTACGTTGGTTTTGTTCTCAATGTTCTTGTCGTTTCAGTGGTATATTGTTTGTAACACAATTTTATATCACTACTATAACCGTAATATACTATCATAGCAGATTAATGTACTATATTGAAATTATTAATATACTATGTGGTTGAATAATACGGGATCCATAGTCGATTAACGAGATCCATAGTCGAATTAGATCAATAAGATAGTCTATTATATGATATAAGGAAAATTACCCTAATTGATTAGTATTTCAAACAAACATATTATTCAGTTTCCATATATATTATTATTTTTTCATATATATTATTATTTACCCTAATCGTTTTCATATAATAAGGAAAATTACCCTAATTGATTAGTATTTCAAACAAACATATTATTCAGTTTCCATATATATTATTATTTTTTCAATAGTCAAATAACTAAACCCATAGTCGAATTAGATACATGGGATAGTCTATTAAATGATATGAAATACTCTATTAATTTTAAAACACAAATCCGCCGCCGTCACTTCTCAAATATAGGGTTTTGATGATTCTTCAGCCCATTGTCGATTAACGAGATCCATAGTCAAATTATACCAGTGGGATAGTCTATTAAATGATATGGGATAGTCTATTAATACAGATGTAATTCGACTATGCATCTCGTTAATCAACTATGGGCCGAAGAATTATCAAAACCCTAGATTTGAGTAATCCTAGATTTGAGTAACCCTAGATTGGAGCAGTGACGGCGGCGGCGACGGTGGGCAACGACGATATCACTCCTAAATTGATTGTTACGACCTTGGATGCGGGAGCGGCGGAGGTCTTGGTCGTTTTTGGCGGTCTTGGAGGTGGAGGTGGTCGGATGTAGTGGTGGTGGAGGACTAGGCGATGGTGGAGGTGTTGCTTATGGCCAATATCGTTGTTATCGTCGTTGGCCACCGGCGACAACGGTGACGGAGGTGGCGGCGGTCGGAGGTGGAAGCGGCGAACCCGGCGGGAAAATAGGGAGGGATTTCGGAGTGCAGAAAATCGTCAATCGCCGGTGTATAAATTTCTTATTTTCTTTGGGACGTTTGCAGATTTTGATAGTGGTTTTGTGGGGATAGTGTTTTAACGGGAAAATAGAGAGGGATTTGATATTATTTCAAAAGGTAAAGTAACGGGATTTTTGGGATTTGATTGAGGGTACTTATGTAATTTAGAAAAGTTTGGGTTTTTATCAAAATGGCAAATTTAAATTTGGATCTACCCCTATTATTTGAATGCTTAAGGGGGTTATATCTAATAGACCCTTTTTAAAAAGTTCACACATAGGAAAACATCACCACACGTTTTTGGAGCGGTTGAATTGCACGTGCTGTTACTTTTCACAGAAAACTTAACACAGAAAACTTAACGGCAGCTACCTATGGACAACCACAAGGTGGTTATATGCTTATATTAATACCACAAGGGGGTTATGTGCCAAAAGGTCAAACCACAAGGGGGTTATGTGCTATTTACCCTATTTATTATTACAGACTATATATATATATATATATATATATATATATATATATATATTTGTTTTTAAAAACACAAAAATCAAAGAAGGCAGCTTGCGAGTTGTCGAATAACTAAATTTGGGCTCAAGCTCGAGCTCGAGTTCGAGCCTTTGTCGAGCGAGCTCGTCGAGTTCGCCAGCCGGCTCGGCTCGATTACCACCCCTAAAATCCCCCATGACACTTCACCACAAGCATCTCCTACCAAAAACCCTAGTCGCCGCCAACCAAGGTTCCACACTCGCAATGAAATTTTTTTTTGAAACAAATCTGAAAATTAAAAATTGAACAAAATTAATATACAAAAATAGATTACGACGAGAGGAATCCAACAGTGGGCCTGTCAAATTCCGACTGACGGAACACAAATTACTCCTCTGGCAAGACTCACGTCGAAATATGCTCCGACAGTACAACGATTGCAGAAACATATCGAGTGCTCTAGACTGAATGAAATCACCACCAAAAGAAAGAGCTCGATGAGATAAATCGAACGAAAGCTAAACCATCGAATTCTGACCACCGGAGAGAGAGTTATGAATCCAAGAAGCAACATCGCCGATTGGAGATCTATGGGGGCGGGATTTGAATCTGAGAGTTAAAGAGAAAGAGAAAGACGGATGTGGGTTGACTAGAGTTTAAAACTGATTTTAAAAGGGCATTTTAGGTATTTCAGGGTAGACAACGAGGGGTCTGTCAAATTAATTTCAAAATGAATGGGGTTTGCACCAATGTGTGATCCCCTCGATGGTTAGTTATATATATTTTGCATATAAGGGGTCACTAAAATAATCCCTTGAATATAATATATATTTGTACTTGGCTTTCATTATGATCACCTTAGGGGGAGTTGTGGCATGTTTAGTATCATTATTATATATTTTTTGATACCTTTGTTGAACATGGACTGGTATATATACCTGTTGAGTCTTCAGTAAAATATACCACTCCTGCTGGATCAAGTATTTTTGTTCGAAAATGGTAAAAATGTTAAAATATAACTTTTAGCTTTCCAAAACCAAGAAGGTTGGAGTGGCCTTATGTAAATTAGAATGTAATAAAAAAAAAATAAGGTAAACTACGGACATCATGAGGTATGGTCAAATTACGAAAAACCCACAACCGTAAAAAAAAAGGGGAGTAACCGTAATTACCCAAACATAAAGGAGTAATTGTAAAGAAAAAAATGGTTAAATTTGGTAACAATATATCAAATTTGATAAAAAGGGAAGAGTATTTGGACAAGTCATACAAGGGGCGGCACTACAAACTTTGAATAGTTGTTTGAACAAGGAGCTGTAATAATAATAAAAATAATAAAATGTAGTTGAATATGAACACAATAATAGCATCATATCAAAGTTTGAATACCAAATATACATACATGCAAAAACTCAAGCCAATGAGTTATGCATCTACTTTCCAAGCAAACGACGGGTACGCTGATTCGCACCTTTCACTCGGAAATTAATTTCCTCGACATCATCATGAACATGATCCAGAGCTTTGTTCTGCCTGCATTCGCCAAAAATTTAACAATTAACATCCATTTGGTTTAATAAATTTTGATTAAAATATGATCATCTAGATCAAGATACAATTAACCTTTCAATTTCAGATCCCATGTCAATAGCCATATTCTTTAGCTCTCCCAAAATATTACTTAAATCTACGAGGGCGTCGTCTTGTTTCACCTTTTCCACCTGTCACAAGGTAGATGCAATTAAAAATAATCACGTACGTAGAAACATGATTTAACCAGTTAAGCCAACTTATACATCAAAAAAATACACTTAATATCTATGGATTAATACAGTTGGGACCAGCCAGATTCTATTTTTTTAGCATGTTGTCTTCAATAGGAACCAGAAGAAAAAATATTATTTAAACGAGGTTATTAGTGTACCTCTACTTTCTGCAATACATTTGCGGGTTCATGAGGTGCATGTGATCGTTCGTCCTTCGGGGCCGAAGAAGTCAACCCCAATCGTTCCCTCTGCTCTAATTGGTTTCCCGTTCTATGCAGTACTGGATAATCTACGTAACCGTCGTCAACATGTTAAAACACAATTTACCAAGAAAATTCTAGATTAAAACATTATACCTTAATAAGGCAAAAACGATCACTCGTGGAGGAAATGTTGTATGAGTTGTAAAGGTTAAAATATGACGTACGTACCTTTGGTGATTGTAGGGCCGATTATTTGTCGAGTCATCTTAGGCTTCCATGTCTTGGAGAAAATTCCACCAAGACTTCCTAAAAGCTTCTCCCCCTAAAATCAGACGACAATAAATGTTCGGATTCAACAGCGCCCAATGCCCACCCAATTCCCGTGCATTTGTTGACTTGTGGTATATTAACATTTATCAGTTAATTAGTAGAATAAAAGACGTACCCGAGTAAGGTCACGGTCCATGTCAGCAGCAACCATGTGAGTTCTCGTAATTTGCTCTCCTTGTTGATGTAAATTTACTAATGTTCTAGAAGCATCTTCTCTTATGCCCTCAGCAATCTTGAGACAATTGTTGACCGTCTTAGTCGTCTCTTCAGCTTTAGAGACGGCGTATTCTTCCAGTTCTTGTAGGGGGGCCCGATTCTCGAATCCCCCACAGTCTGTGAAATCTTTCTTGTATCGATTTTCGGCTGCCGGAGAGAGATGGATTTGAGATGATGAGGTACCTTTTACATCACCGTCATCAAAAGGATTTGTGCTCAAATTTGATGCGGTTACGGGGTTTTTAATGGTTTGATTGCTATCCAACTCATCATCGTCCGAATCGAAAGGATTAGCGTACTTATTAACGGTAATCCCGTGATTAACCGACTTGTGTTTAGGTACCCCTTGTGAGAGAGAGCTCTTAAGACCAGACATTATGTAAATAGCAAAATAATGTAGGATGATTTATATGAGGCTATATGTTATTTTGCTGACAGAGTCTGAAGCTGCCCACCCCCTTTCAACATTGACACAAGCAAAGAAATAAAATCAGACCATGAGAGCAATAGCTATAAACCTTAAGCACCAAAGAGACAAATGAATTTCAAAACAGAAGTATTATGTTGACATTATATATACATACATAGAGAGAGAGAGAGAGAGAGAGAGAGAGAGAGAGAGAGAGAGAGAGAGAGAGAGAGAGAGAGAGAGATCAAAACCCACACACAAAAAATAAAAAAGGACTCAACCGGTGATCTCTAGTTCATGTGGTCAGCTAGGCATCCTATATAATTAGATTGATCAGAAGGGAAAAAAAAAAACAAGAAACTCAGAAAATAGGCAAACTCACCCAGAAACGTATACAATCTTCAAAAGAAAACTAAAATGTACGTTACTGTTTTAACTCTTGCTAAACAAACTTAACTGCATAACTGATCATAATCTAAAGACACAGAATCCCAGCTTTCTCTATTGAAAATTTACAGAAGCCCCAACACAAAGAAAAGCAATTGAAATATGTAGGAAACACAGAAAGAAATGTTTGGCATCAGCTTTACCTGAATTTCAAGAAAGATAAGAGGGATGATTTTGTATTGGGGAGAGCTCCGAGAATAACGCCTTTATTTCTTGTAAGACTATCCAGCCGATCTAGTAGAGGGATAAACAGAGGGGGAGAGAGAGAGTGGAGAGACAATTTTGAATTTTGAATTGCAATAAACAAAACAAAACCTTTTCCCCTATACGGAGATAACAATAAACAAAACAAAACTTTTCTTTTTAAGAATTGAGGTATTATTATAAAGGACAACATTCACTTTGCCCCTATAAATTTTCTAGATTCACACTTTTCCCCCTAAAATTTAAAAAACGAGATGACTCCCCTTTAAAATATTGTTCCGGTTGCACTTTGCCCCCAAAATCCTATTTTCGGTGGGCAACGTGCAAACAAAAAAAAAACATTTTAAAGATGCAGCATTCAACAAAAATAACTTTTGAAAGGAGCAACGTGCAATGAAAACAATATGTTAAGGGGTAATGTGCAACAAAAATGCGCAATTCAGTGAGTAATCCATCCGAAATTGGCTATTAGAGCAACGCGTAACAGAAATAAAAGTTTGAAGGCACACACTTTTTGAATTTTGAGGGCGGAAAGTGGCAAAATTGAAAATTTGTAGGGAGTGAAGTGCAATTTGCTCTAGATGAAGTTTTTTTTAATTGGCTATTATGTTCTTTTTATTACCCCATATTTTTAGTCAATCAATTATGTACGCACATGAATATTGGCATATACAAAAAAAAATCATAAAGCCCAAGAACAAAAATTTACAAATTTCAATATTTATATTATAAATCACCTCGGAACCAATAAAATACAAATCGAAAATATACAAATATATGCATATGTAACTACATGTTGCTGTATTAAACTATACTGAAAATAATTACATGTAACTGTAGTAAACTATAGTCATTCGTAGTTATGTTCGTTTTTTTTTACCCCATATTTTGAGTTGATTAGTTATGTACATACACGAATATTGGCTTATACAAAAGAAATTCATAAACCCCAACAAAAAAAATTTACAAATTTCAATATTTATATTATAAATCACCTCAGAACCAATAAAATACAAATAAAAAATACACAAATATATGCATATGTAACTACATGTTACTATATGTAACTAGTAATGTACTACAGTAGTAATGTATAGTAATGTACAGTAATGTATACATTCTGTTGAACACTGTAACTTGAAGCAGATGTAACTTCAACCAAAATTTTTGACACCTTGAAGGAGATGATCAATGGCTTTCATTACGCTGCAATAGCAAAATTGAAACAAAACAAATTTGTTTTAGTGCACTGCAAATTAACAAACATTGACGAAACATCAAAACACAGCTGCAAAATTCTACGAATTTCAGACCAAACCGCCAATGACTCCTCACCCCAAGCGCCTCCTACCAAAACCCTAGCCATCGCTAACCACCCAAGGTTCCGCGATCACAAATGAAAAAAATTATAAAAATAAATATGAGAATAAAAAATTAACGAAATTGCCATCAAAATATAGATCTCGACGAGACGAATCCAACGGTGGGTAGCCCGTCAGATTCCGACTGTCGGAACACAAATTTCACCTCCGACAAGACCCACCATCGTCGACATATGCACAGATTGCAGAAATAGATCTAGTTTTAAACTAAATGAAATTACCACCAAAAGAAAGAGCACGACGAGATGAATCCAATGGTAGTTAAACCATCGAATTTCGACCAATAGAGAGAGAGTAATGACTCCGGAAAGCAACTTCGCCGATTGGAGATCTATGAGGGCGACATTTGAATTTAGGAGTTGAGAGAGGAAGAGAGAGACGACTGTGAGTGGCTAGGGTTTAAAACTAATTTTAAAAGAATATTTTAGGTGTTTCAGGGTGGGCGAGGGGGTCTGTCAAATTAATATCAAAATGGAGGAGGTATGCACCAGAATGTAATTAACTTGGTGGTTAATTATATATAATTTTCGGGGTATCTAAAATAATCCATTATTAAATGAATACCGATTTCATATAATAACGGTCCACATACAAAACGTAAACGTAATGGCTACAACGAAAATCTACCAAAACTATAACGGATATATATATATATATATATATATATATATATATATATATATATATTATAAACGTGCAGGAAAATCTGAATAGTGCTTCTCAATTTATTTTTCATTTTCTTTATGCAGTTTTACCCCAAAACGGTGCCCTTTTTTCTTTATATCTACCTTTCTAAGTACATTGTCAATTTCTTTTTCGTTTTCATTTAATCAAATTTTTTTTCGGTCGGACCAAATATGTGGGCCCGCTCCCACTATTTTCCATTTCTTTTTCGTTTTGCCAGCAGCTAAAATTTGCTTAACAAAATTTGGAGAACGCGCATGCATTTATTGCCCTCATGGTCACAATGTTGTCAGCCTTCCCACTCCTTTTTTTTATCATTCCTTAAAAAAATAAGCTCACGGGAATTCATTTAAAATAGTTATTTAAAAAATATATTTATGATAATATACAATAGTTGCTAATTGCTATCTACATTTTAGTATAAACTTGATTCATTTTGAATTAACTCAAAATTATTAAAGTTTTAAGAATTAACATCTCAAATTTACTATGTTCACTCTAATTAATCAAATAACTATTCAAAATGATTAACTAATGACCATAATTTAATTTAATATTTACTATGTTTAATCTTTAAGTTTATATTTAAAAAAAAATAGTGTTATATTTAAATGAGTGTAGTTATTTTTCTTTTTTCTTTTTTTTCTTACTTATTAATACGATTTATATAAGAAAAACAAAAATCGTAACTTATAACTATGAATACGTTATGGTTCTACATTACTTCAGCTAAATAAGTTATTTCAAAGTTTATCTGCTGAAATAATTTTCCTAATTTCTTTTACATCTTAAATTTACTTTGTTATTTTAATATTTAATATTTTCCACATATTTTAATAACTAGACTTACATTGTGTGGGCCCATTTCCTCTCTCCTCCTACGCCTAACTCACTCCTCCACGCGCTTTATCTCAGCTTTCTTCACGTGCTTCCATTTAATGCATCATTTATCTGCAGCCACTTACTACGATAAAACGACGTCGTTTGGGTTCATGTTTACCTTTCCCCATGCAAACTAAAGATAATTACAGCTACATTTATTGCTTATTTCACATCTTTAAAAAGTAGACCCACCATCACATTCTTTATGTCTAATTTCTTTTTCACATCTCTCAAAAGAATTTTGAGGCTACCGTTTTTTTCAGTATCACATCAAACCACGTGGGAATAATTATGCAGAAATTCCAATAACTAATAAATTGAATCGTTAATTATCAAATAAAAATAAAAATAGATTGAATAGTTCTTTTATAATCAGTTTATACTTATTAATAAATATAAATATAAAAGTTGTTATCTTCACTACAAATTAAAACTTCTATATAATATTAAAAATATCTTATTTACGAATAAATATAAAATTATTACTAATTAAACTTCTAATAATTTATCATAAATTTATTATATGAGATATATTGCTATATTCACAACAAATTATTAAAACGTATAGGTATTAAAAATCTATATTGGCAGCTATCTATCCTCTGGGAAAAGCCCACATCATATTTTTTTATATTATATTATAATAGTTGTTTTTATTAATTGTTGTCCTTCATAGTTGTTTTTATTAATTTTAAATATTAAATTATATAATATTTTATAGGATCATCATGATATATCATAGCTTATGGTATAGACCAAATATAATTATTCATTTCTTCGTACTTCTGCTTCTCCTTCATTCGTTCAAAACAGATACCAACTCGCATTTCTGTAACAACCACCATTTCTCATAGTTTACTAAAATTCACATTTGGTGCTCTTTGTTTGAAGAATCCATTTCTAAATTTTATTTTCTGGGCTGATATTCAAAGAAATCATATTACATTTACTGTGTGTTACTTTAAGGTTATATCAAAAACTTTACTTTCTTACTTTACTTACTTTACTGTATGTTTCATTTATTTCTACAAGTTTCATTACTTTGGTTGCAAGTTTCATATGTTTAAATTTTATGGGCATCTACACTCTAACTGCAAGTTTTACAGTGTTTCATTTTTTTTTTCACCCGTTGCTCATTTAAAAGAAAGAAAAATGAGCCATACATTTAGTTGTTGAGTTGTTGTTAGATTTGTATTAGAGATAATTTTACCTATTTTATTCGGTACAACATTTTCTAAATTTAAATTTATTTGTTTTATAGATTCCTCGAAGCAACATCACATATTCACATTGATTCACTTCAACTTGGAAAGGTTTGTGTGCATATTATTTGATTATTCATAATTCCATGGGTTGTATGATATAAGCCTTTGCTCTGTTCTTTTTATAGTTTGAACTACATTATCCCATAATTATTCTATGTTTTTATTTGTTGTTAAAAATATATTATGTGTGTAATTTATGATGGATTTCATTGTCATTGTTTTTATGTGAGTCTAGAATAGTTAACCCAAGTCGAAATATTGTTGAGATATACGTATAGTCATGGATTCTTCTTCAAAGCAAAAAGAAATTCGCAATCAGAGAGCTCGTATAAGATATGTTGCAATGAGTGTTCAAGATAGAGAGAAATTGAATTCTAGAAAAAGGGAGAATTATGCACGCCGGGCACGGTCTGATATAAATGAGCCATCTGATTTGGCTCGGGCTCGTACCTTGAATGATTCATCTGTTGTGGCCAACTCCATTGGTCAAATTCATGGTGGTGAAGATGCATTTGGTGTAATACAAAGTACCGCGTGCTTGCCGACAAGATCTCAGAGAATTCCTCAAATTTATACTTCTTCTACTCCATTGCAAGAACAACCCTTTTTGCATGTACAAGCACAAAGTAAGTCATTGATTACTAAATTTCAGTTATTTAAAACTGCATACTATTTATATTTTACATTATAAAAAATCTTGCCCTCATTGCAGATGTACCAGAAAATGTGCAACAAAATTGCAACAATATTCGTCGTGTTGCAAACCGTTTTAAAAGAATGTCTGATATTGCGAAAATACCTTGGATACTTTCTATCACGCCTCCATGTTCCTACTGCGGGGCATTTCGTTTCTCTCGTGATGTTGTGGGATTTTGTTTTTCTAAAGGCCAGATTTCTTTGGTGGACCCTACTGTTTGTCCGATCTTACATTCCTTATTTACCGGGCAATCGGAAGTTGCGTGCCAATTTAGAAGACGATCTCGAACTTATAACAATGCATTTGCATTCACTTCCATGGGAATTAAAACCGATCTGCAGTCATGGTGGGCTAAAGATGGCATTTATGCTTTAAAAGTTATAGGTCAAGTCTACCATTTTATGAATCCTATTGGTGGTTCACCTAATACAAAAGATATGCTTCAGCTATTTTTCCTCGACACCTCTGAAGACTTGGATCCTCAAGTACTTCAATCAAAACAATTACGGGTTGATATTATGGACCTTCTAATTTCGGCTCTCTCAAAAAATCTATATTCCATCTTCTTTAAAAGGCTTCAGACTTGGAATGACCTCCGAAATGCGCACATTGTTATTAGATCAGATAGCAAACTAGATCAGAGAACTTATAATTTACCGACAGCCGATGAAGTGGCTGCTGTGTGGAACGA